CTTATTTGACTTACGAAATCTGCTATAATAGGTAGAAGTAATTAAAAGAGCAGACCAACAACAGATTTATTCCCTTAAAAAACACGAAAATAAGTTAAGGGACTGAATGAGAAAATTCGAAATACATTATTGGGCTAACGTGTCATTTTTCCCAAATTAATTTCTTGCAAATTTATGATATATATTAAATTTTTAAAGAAAATAACGATTATGAAATATACCTGATCATCAAAGTGAAAATCGTCACTTTTTGCGTAATTCAATTGAAACTGTAAAAATTAATCACACGTCGAATGTAGTATTTCAACAATAGACACAAAATGTAAATTAGTGAATTCATTCCCACATTAAACTAAACGTATGTAAAAGAGAAATTGATTTACATTTAAAAAAGTCAACGGTATATTGATCATGTAATTTTTCAAAGTGTAAATTAGTGAATTCATTCACACATTAAACTAAACGGATGTAAAAGAGAAATTGATTTACATTTCATAAAGCCAATGTCATATCGATCATGTAATTTTTCTTTACTAAATTCAATTATCATTTCAAAGTATAGTGGGCCAAAATGAAAGCATCCACCGGCCACCATGATCCACCATTTAAAAGTAGATTTGACTGACGTATTTTAGGGTAAAATTTTTGGATATCCCGCCATGAAATTTCTATATCCCGCCACACATTTTGAGTTCCAATCAAACCCCACATCACGTTTTCACTCCTTATCTTTCCCTCTCTTCTCCACAGCAGCAACCGACGACTTTGACCACCGCACTGTCATCTCAAACCCTTCTATACCTCAATAGACGAATCCAGTTCATCATGCCGACCACCACTCCGGTGCCTCAACCCCTTATCCTTTCCTCGGTTTTTCCTATCCACTACCTCATATCACTAGGTCGCCAAATCATTTCCAGTGTAGCAATACTCGTCTAGACGACTCCACATCTCTACTTGTTCTCTTTTTGCCATTGCTAAACATCCTTCTAGTGCCACGATTTGTAAGGTTTATTCATTGGTATTTGATATTTATAATTTCATTTCATTATTATAGCACTGGTGAAATGGGTTATTGACATCATTATGCAGGTACCCTACTTTAGTTAATCTTCTTTTTTGGCAATTTTACTAGACATGTGTAGTTAAGGTTTTATATTACAGAATATTTAGTGCAACAGATTGAACCTGTAGTTCTTAATCATATCATCAAAACAATCAAGCCTCATTACTCACTCATATATTTAGTAATAAACATTTATGCCAACTCATATATCTAACATCATATGCCATGATTCGTGTACAGTCAACATGTCTCAGTTATTTGTTTGTGTTATCATTATTGCTTTTCAATTATTTTTAGGAAATTTTAGTCAACATATTACTAGAAGATTCCCCTAAGGCAACAAGAAGCAAGGCTAGTACAAGGGACACATCCAGATACATAAAATTCAACATTTAACAATCAATCATCTCCCAACTCTTTTATGTGCTTAAGGTTTTATAAAAGTTTTTTTACAGACATCTTCCTCCATAACATGCATTTCTTGAATAAGATTTTCTTCATTTCTTCACAATTTTTCATGGATCGATGCTTTGGTGCTTGGATTTTAGTTAAAATTCTAGAAATTTGTGGTATGAAAATAATTCAATTAGTTGCTCTTATCTTCTGATTTTTTATAGTTCTGCAAAAAAAAATAACAGTGCCCAGATCACTTGAATGGTTTGATAGACTACATAAATGAAATATTTAAAGGTAATCATGTTCGTGTGATATCAAATGAAGTTGGTATCCTACAAGATGCATTTGGCACTATAATTCAATGGTCACATATTGTAATTGTTCTCACTAAGGTACATCTTCATTATCCTTTCCCTTTTTATCTACTAATGAATAATATTATCTTTTGTTGAAAAAACAAACAACATATTTGTTCATTTTTACTAAAATTTCTAAACATTACTAGCATACATTATGTTCTCTTGGTGATTTGCCTTGGAATCACGTCATATACATTTTGGATTCTCCGATGAAGTCTATGCAAAATCCTGTCAACACCTACTACTTGCTCAAAATTGTGGACATGTAAGAAGATTCTTAATATGGCATGAAAATAACATTTTTTTTTCTATAAACTTGAACATAACTCAATTGCTTGTTTATTTTCAAGGCTTTTGCTTGGTATGAATCAGCTCCAATTGTATAGATGATGGCTGAGGTAATTTATCTTATTACTTATCAAACAATTAGATGTTGTAGTTTCACTTATCTTATTTATGCTTACTTTATATCATAATTTTAGTGCAACCAACTTGGCGTATCTGAGAGTTAGTTGAGTGAGCACTATGTAATGAAATAGATGTTTGATTTCGTGATGACCTACAATATGGATTCCCGAATGGAGTAACAAAGTACTTTTTCATTTTGTTTGTAGCAAGAAACTATCAGTTTAGTTATTGATTAGTTTTAATTTTATATTTCCTATAGTTTGGTACCCTATAAATGAAAAAAACTCCTTTAAAGGAGAAGGCGTTGGTTATGACAACTGTTATGTGGGCCAAAGAAATGAATGATGTTGCTGCCTAAAAATGTATATGTTAATCTTTATAACATCCTGCTTTTTGTTTAATGACTGTCTCTTAAATTCAATAGTTTTGAAATGTTAGATAAAAAACTCATTATTTGTTGTGTTTATTTTTCAGCGGGGATGGATGATAGCTACTACACTTGATTATGTGATAATCCCACTTGGATGTGATAATTATTTCTATTTTGTAAATTTTTATGTAGTAAGATATGACCAAATTAATGAGTTATTATGACACTTAAAACATGTTTATATCAATGACTATAATGGTTGGTTATTTTGCATGTCTATACTAACATAATTTGTTTATTAGAGCTTACTCTTTGTATTGAATATGTGTTTTGGATGTTAGTCTTGGTTTTTGCATACTTGTGGTGGTGGTTAATTGCAATGTAGAGTAATTTTGGATGTAAATTCCAATAGTTATTTTTAGAAAAAAGAAGAATATTATAAAAAAATCAGCTTTGTTTATATGAAACGGTTGTTTGAATGTACCTGGTGCTAATTTAGTCATTATATGGCCAGGTTTTGAGGATTAGAAACGGGTTCTTTTGTCATTAAATGACCCGGTTTTGTGTGGTAAAACCGTGGCCTAATCTCTTTATGTAACCTGGTTTTACGTGTTCTGAAAATCCTTATATGTCCCGACTTTTATATAGAAACCGAGTTTTTTCCAGGAAGATAGGACCCGGTTTTGAAACCGGGTTTTATTCATTATTTCGTATAGGACTCGCCGACTATAAGACCCGGTTCAAAACCGGGTTATTTAATTCTTTAAACCGGGTTCTATAAGCTTTTTTGTAGTAGTGATGCTCTTGGTGTGGTGATTACATGGTAGGCATGGAAGAGGTGAACACCTCCTCCTAAGGGCATGGAAGGTATTTGGCATGGCATGACATGGGAAGCGCTATAACTTACCATGCCCCTCTCTCTTGCTCACCGTCCACCGTCCACCCCTCTCTCTCTCTCTCTATATATATATATATATATATATATATATATATATATATATATATATTTTGGTATCTCTTTACAACATGGTAGAAAAAAACACCATCCGTCCACGTGGAGGTGGAGGTGGAGGTGGAGGTGCTGATGTTGAGACTATACACGATCAAGAGTAGGGGTGACTCAACCAGTTTGGGGGCTCTAAGTGGACGAAAAATTTGGGCCCTTGAGCTATCCCTTATGAAAAACATGAAAAAGTTGTAAGTCATTGAAATAATATTACAGAGATCTAATACAAAATACAAATTTATAGATTATAGAGATATGAATTCATCATTTTTTTTCTTTCTGAAATATTATTGTATCTATATTCATATATGTATACGGTAATACATATTACAGATTTAATAGATCTCAGTTTCAACTATTTCTACCATAAATCCACAATCACAGTCCACATAAGAGGGATAAATAGACATGACATAATTCCTAATCAACGAATCACTCAAATCCCCATTACTTTTTAATTTAATTTCACTTTCACCGATATTTCCCAATTCTTCAGGGGATATCGACTCATTATTATCCATTGGTTTTGGCACAAACCATAGAGCACTTGCTTAATTATAACAATCGTATATAAATGATAGATACACCAATTGCTTAATCTTTCACTTTTAAAAAGTATATAAATGGTAGATACAAGAATTGCTTAATCTTTCACTTCCAAAAAGTCGTCAACTCAAATTTTTTGAAAATTAAATAAGTGATTAGATAACGGAAATTGGAAAACATGAAAACTCAAATGGAGAATTACATACTGTTTCTGCGTTTCAGTTCATCATCAGTTGAGGTCTTGTCCTCTTGACGCCCTTGAACAATGGTCAATGGAGAATCACAATCAGGCTGCTACGTTTCTGCGTTTCACTTTTTGACTAGACTGGAATAGAGATTGGAGGACAGGAGGAGAAGCCGAGAAGGAAGAAGATTAGAAGAACACTAGAACAGATTAGAAGGTCGTCGCTTCCCTCAGGCGTGCGTAAGAATGGAATAATCGAGAGTTTTTGGACTAGAATTACTGAATAGGATTTAAAATTGAGGGCCTAATAGAATCAGGGGCCCTAAACCCTTGCTTAGTTTGGTAAACACTTAAGCCGCCCCAGTCCAAGAGCATAGCATACCCAATGGTCTTATATATACGGGTCATGACCAAAATCACTACAAAATGAAACCACCAAAATAACAAAATGCAGATTTTTATTTAAGTTTCAATTTTTTAAACATTATGCAAGTTTTTTCTTTTAAATAACACCCAAACAATCTTTGATCGATCACATATATTCTTAAACTTACAATTACAAACAAATCATATATCATATCTACACTTTATAAATAAGAGTACAATAAAAACCATATATGAGTGCTATAAAGTCCACATTAATGATGCTGTGGACTGCTTTTTTATCACTGAATTCGGACCCAAATGCCTGGACTCGGTACTTCATTATGTACCACAAATAGAAGATAATCACCAGCAGGAGCAATGTTACCGGATGGAGGCGCTGTTACTTCAACTGTATAGTAAGACCGTCCGACGACAGCCTTGGTGGAGTTACCACCGTCAAGCACCAACAACCTTTGATTCATAGAAAACGAGTGCGTGTTAAATGAAGGTGCTATCATTGTCACTGAGATCAAACTAAGATTGACATGGCCTGTTATGGTAAACTTAATGATAATTTGTTCACCGTAGTGCATCTTAGCTTTGGGTTTGGGCGAGATAATATTAGGACGTAATATGGATGAGCTTGGATCCAGATAAGAGGGCGCAAATGTCTCCAAGCTCAATTCAGTTGGGTAAAGTACGTCCGTGAATGCATATTTATCATGAGGATTACTTCCACCTACAAGAACCCTACCATCTCTTAGCAAAACCGCTGTCGAATGGTACATTCGAGGTTTGTTGCTTGGGTTTTGCACTTGAAATCTAGACCCAAGTGGGTTCTCCGGTCGGTAAACTACTGGGTTCAGAACCGGGTTCCTTCCAAGCTCCCACCCTGCAGACCCTGCAGACGCACCATTAATATTCAATACATGTCCATTCGGTAGCAACAACATGTCACCTAATACTCGAGCTAAAGGCATGGTTTCCATGAGCCATTCGGGATTTTGGTCTGATATTTTAAGCCGACCACATGTATCCAAGGCTCTATCAAATTTTGCTTTTAATGCATTAATGAATGCTCCTATGGGTGCTCCCCCACAAACTAATACTTCAACAGTATTCACTGACCCTTTCTTTATCTGCAAAGGTAACAAAACTGCAGAACCCGTGCTTGGGTAATTCCTTGGTTGACCATCTGGCATTGTTGGGTAATTCCTGACCACTTTGTTCCTTGAATAGTCGAATAAAATAGCACGATTATTTGCAAAAATGAACAAATTACCATCAGGAATGAGAAATACAAATGGGTACAGATTATTTTCAATGTTAAGGTCACTCGTTTGAACCAAAAAGGGTAAACTGTAAGAGGTCTCTGTCGCCGACATCTTAGGATAGAACTCATAGTTAAACGTCTGACGACCACCAATAATAATTTGGCGACTGTCAGGCAGTATTTGATTGGTTGCATACCATCTGGGTTGATTCAAACCATTTTGTATCTCTTGCCAATCGCATGTATCACATGATCTATAAATTCGGACAACCTGAGAACCATCACCCCAGCCTCCGGTCTGTGTAAGTCTTCCGTTGGGCATTAAAGTTCCAGATGAGCACCAAACATCAGTGAGTACCATAAGTGGACGTATGGAATTGGATGCAACATCATACTCGACGGAATGGGCTGAGCAGTCGGTTGAGTTGTGGCGGCATTTGCCATTAGGAAGAGAGATTCTGGAGGTGCCAAAGTCCGTACGATCAAACATAACAACACGATCATTTGGGAGAAGCTGCATGTGCATCGCTGAGATGCCGATGCTTGGGAGGAGGATGGACCAGGATCCACCAGTGGCGGAACATGGCGGAGTATGGAGGAGAGCGAAGAAGAGGATTTGGAGATAAATGGCCATGAGTTTAGGTGCGGGTATATCTGTCGAGATTTTCTGTTTTCCTAGAGGTTGTGGTGGTCACCTTTTAAGTACTAGTCATAGAAGAGCTGAGGTTGCTAAAGTTACACGAACTCCACACATGTAAGGGTGGTGCCACATTATCTTTCTATCATCTAACTCTATTTTTTTTTTTCTCAACTCTACAAAGTTCAATAAAATGTTACAAAATTTAATTTATAGTAAATATTTAAGAATTAAAAACTTTCATTTCAATGACCATTGAACTTTAAATCCATTGAATGCCAAGGTGACATCTTATAATGGTAGAGTTTCATCCATTGAATGACACATGGACTTGCCACCTCATTCAACTCTCTCATTGAACTCACAATTGTAGATGCTCTAAGTGCGTATCGGTTTTAAATGATGATTTTGGATGAAAAGTATGTTTATGTAACTATATGCTAACATTGTGGCTAGGGGTGTGCATAAAACCGCACAAACCGCATAAACCGCCCGCACCGCACCAAACCGCACCGCATAACGCGGTTTAGAACTTTAGTGGTGCGGTTTGTGGTTTGAAATTTTATTAAACCACACTTTGCGGTGCGGTTTGCGGTTTATAATTACAAGATTGCGGTCCAAACCGCACCGCATGTGTGTATATATATATATATATATATATATATATATATATATATATATATATATATATATATATATATATATATATATATATATATATATATATATATATATATATATATATATATATATATATATATATATATATATATATATACGGAAATGCATAACTAGATAACCAAATGCTTATTATAGTTTATTCTTATATATCTTTAAAATTTCAAGATTGCACTTGTAAGCTTAACCAACATTTGTTATGATTTGCATCATTGAATATAAAGAACTTCACATCTTTTCACATCTTATGTATATGTTTTTTTGATTCAATGTCACAGTTAAGTACTATCTATGTATTTTAATTATTGTTATTATGATATTAATTAATTCTTAATAGTATTGTTTTTAAAAACCACCTATAATCATAGATCTTGTTAAAAGTGACACTATTAGTCAGACATATAAGTTATACAAATGGATATTGTATCGTCGTATCAATAAACAAAGATATAAACTATATACAAAATGTTGCATGAAACTTAATTTTCCACATCTAAATCATAATGAAATGCGAGAATGTCATTTTGTAATTACGTATTTAAGATTAATAATATGTTACATCATGTAGGCGATTTTTTCAAACCTCAAAAACCGCAAAACCGCACAAAACCACCCGCATCAAACCGCACCGCACGACGCGGTTTATAGCTTTCGCGGTGCGGTTTGCTGTTTCCGATAAACTCAAACCGCATATGCGGTGCGGTTTGTGGTTTTGGGTATAAACCGCACCGCGCACACCCCTAATTGTGGCTATGTTTTAAATGATGATTTTGGATGAAATATATGTTTAATTTAACCGCTAACTAAATGATAACATGACCCCGTTGAATTATTGTTATATCCGTTATTTTGATACTAAATTTCAATAAAAAATAAAATTGGAACAAGTTGACATTTTATTTATTTTCATTTCTTTGGACTCCACAAGAATTTGTCGATATTTCCAATTCAATCATTTTATTCCTAGATGTTCTATAGGAATAAAATGTCATTTGGTTCCTCCACGAAGAACCCTTTATTCTGCGTCACAAGATAAGAAATTTTTTCACTATCTTCCTTTTATTACAGGATCAAGATTAATTAAATGATAGTTGAAAAATTAACCGCAAATTAAAAAGTAGCTGATAAAAAGATAATATTTGGTAAAATATGACATATCAACTAGCTGGGAAATGTAAGAACGGTAAAATGACATTAAAATCTATGTATATAAGAATGATATAATGTTATAATATAAAACAAACACGATATATTTCGTTAAATTAAAATAAATGTTAAATAACAGCAATTCCAATATTTGTGTTTAAACTAAAAAATAATAAAAAATTACCAAATCGTTTAGTTCTTTACAATATAAAGAATAAAAAGAAAAACAAATATGTTGAAAGAAGATGTTTCTTGCGACCAACGCCATACTAAACTTTCAAAATGTATATAATATTATTATAATGTTTTTATAATAATTTAATTAACTGCGAAAATAATATTTATGTTTGTATACTTTATGTCATTCTAATTTTATTTTATTTTTATGTTTTTAGTTGTATTAAAATTTATAAAGTCATTATTTTAGACATGTTTAATGTTATCTGATTTAGAAAATTATATAATAATTTTAGAATATGTTTCAATATAGTTCACGAGATTAATAATTTTTTTTGATTAAAACAATTAGTTGTATAATAATAAAGGGTATAATTGGAAAATTAAAAGAAATCTTGGAAAACTATTGAATATTTTTTTTAAAAAAAAAACTAACTTATAAATTATTTTGTTCGTTTATCAAGTTTAATAAACTAAAAAATCGATAAATAAACTAACTATGAAGCACTAAACATAACATTTTTATTACAAACTCGTTTATATAATTAATTTAATTAAAGTGTAAACAGAAAATATTTTTTAATGTATAACTTTAAAATAAGAAATGAAAAAATGTATTTATTGCAATTTAATATCATATATATGATATTTAATACTTTACATATATAAGTATATGAATTTAATTTTAAAAATTGAAACAACCAAAAATTGACATGTGGATAATATTTATTTCAAAAATACCACAAAATGACAAGTGTCAAAACTCATGAGAGATTGACATGTGGCAAAAAAATTTTTATTTATTAAGGAGGATTTAATTAAAGTGCATATCATATTATTATAATGTTTTTTAATAATTTAGTTAACCGGGAAAAATGATATTTATGTTTTTATACTTTATGTCATTTAAACTTTATTTAATTTATATGCTTTTAGTTGTAATAAAATTTACAAAGTCATTAGTATTTTAGACATGTTTAATGTTATTTGACTTAAAAAATTATATAATAATTTTAGAATATGCATGTGCTTCAATATGGCTCACGAGATTAATAATTTTTTGATTATAACAGTTAGTTGAATAATAATAAATGATATAATTGGAAAAATTTCAAAAAATCTCCATAAGCTCATTGGAAAATTATTACTAAATAGTTTAATTTTTTTTAAACTTATAAGCAATTTTTTTCGTTTATCAAACTTAATAACTTAAAAAACTTGATAAATAAACTAAGTATGAAACACCAAACATAACATTTTTATTACAAACTGGTTTATAAAATTAATCTGTAAAAAAAAAACTAAACACGGTTCACTCAAAAAGAACAAAAAGACACATGTGAAGACTCTAATTTTCAATCACGTCAAAGCCTCCAACTAATAAACATGTGAACTTAAGGTTTTCTATGGCAGCCAACATTAATTAACCTTTCTAAATTTATGTATAACTCAAGTGAAAAACATTAGATGCATGGATCTTCTATTCAACTTTTATCTTTTATTATTTTATTTTATATTTTTTTTATAAACGAGAGTTTATATACTATAATAAGTTATGTTATGAGCCTGGTCCAAACCGATTTAAGGACCGTGGCAAAAACAAATATGAGGTGTTAGGCGTGTCAAACCCAACAAATAATAGGGGTACAGACTTCAAATACACTGCTTTTAATGCATTAAAAAGTAGTACATTGCAAGCATGGTCGAACCACAGAGACACGAGATAGAAGTCTATACTTCTTTGCGCAAGGTACTTTGATCACAAAATGGGGTTTTGTTTGCAAAAGTAAAATAATAAAATAACAGTCTACTTTAAAAACATGCAGAAAATGAAATAAACTTGTAACCAATTTGATTGAATGGTTCTAGTTCTAGTTCTCAATGTTGTTGTTCAACTTGATTTTGACTTGATGTGACTAGTTACACTAATCCACTTAGTTCTTGCTTCTTAATTTTTCACCAAACCTATTTCACTTTACTAGTTTTATTTACCATCAGTACAATAATTTGTAACCACTTCATATAACTTACTAGACATTTCCTAACAATGTAAGCTATATTTCTCGCTAAAAAACAACCAAGTCTACTTTTAACAACCTGTTTTAACTTAACACTTTTCTTCAAAAACTCAATTTAACCAATATTGGTATTAACCTTGCTATTTCAATTTCATTTCAAACCCATTTCAATTGAAAGATGTACTTTTTAAGGGCATATAAATTATTTTAAACCTTGCTTAACATTTTGGCACGTTTTCGAAAAACTTAGAAACATTTTATTTTATAAAAGTGTTTAAACTCTATTCTATAAAACTTAAAAATATGACATTGAAGTTCATATTATGTGTAAAAGTTTCATCAGATCTTTCAAAACCACTTTTGTTTTGACTCTTTTGACCACTTTCTCATTTAGGCATTGTACTTTACTTAAATGTGTTTTCTTGAAACCCAACATGATATTTTTTACAACTTTCTACTCCAAACGTGTTTACAAGACATCACCTATACCTACGTTTCAGAACATTCCTCATTTGTTTATTTTATTTCAAATTAGTTTTATAATCTGTAAAGTTTTTAAAATTTACAGCATTGCAAAACTTAGTGTTCACTTTTAAATTTCCAGTGGCACACTTTCAACAATGTATAATTACTCTTCTAAATATATTGATTCTTTACCTTATCCGTTTTAACCATTGTTGAAATCCAATCTAAAATGTCAAAACTGTCGTATTTTTAATTACCAGTTTTAGTGCTTCTTCTTTTTCACAAATGAAGTTTAACTTAATAAGATAACTCATGATTTTTAGCAAACACTTTAAAACTTCCACATGTCTATTTAATCATCAACATACATCAAGGATTGACGATTGAAATATATCTCAACCTAAGTTTTAAATCTACTTACAGATATTGTCCTTAAAATTTTAAGAATAACAATCATTGCTGCTGCTACCTTCCATTTCTTTCCCCTACACTTTATTTATTGCTCTCTATCTG